GGAATGGTTAAGTCTAGCCAATTAAATCAATTAAGTAAACTAATTAATAAAAGTCTCAATAAACCAACATGTTAGTTAGCTTTTGGTGTCAGTGACCAAGATACCTGAGAAGAATGATTTTGCCCAGGAACATTTTACTTTGTGCTCACAGTTTTGGAGGTCCCAGTCCATCGTCATTTGACTCTATAACACCAGAAGTGAGATGAAGCATTTTTTGCAGAATGCATTGTAGAGAAAGGCTGTGCACTTCATGGTAATCAGGAAACCAAAATAGAGGAGAAGGAAACAGAAACAAACATATAATCCCCAAGGTGTTTCCCTAGTGACCCACTTCTCCATCTACACCCCACCTGCCCATGGTAAACCACTTTGCAACCCATTCAAATTTTTGTATCCTTCAAAAGGATTAATTCACTATGTATGATATTCATAATCTAATCATTTCACCTCCCCCAATAACAGTGGAACATTGTGGGAGACCCCTCATATCCAAACCATAACAACCAATAATAAATTTAAATGTTACAAGTCAAAAGTGCATTAAATATATATAATCTACTGTATATATACACACACAATACCTGGTGGAGTGTAGGTTGTTACCATAAAGATCATGTTGATGAGAACTATGGCTCCCTGCAGCTGCCTAACATGTTGAAAGAATATCATGCAGTATCCCACAGGAAATGATCAAAATTCAAAATGTATTTCTGTAGAAAGTATATTGTACTTTCACTCTGATAAAGTTAAATAATCTTTAGTTGTGATATAATCAATTTTGCTTACACACTCATCTTTATTTATTTATTAACTTTAATTTTGGGAATTGAACCTCCTGGTGTTTTACCACTGAACTACATTTTCAGTCTTTTTATTTTGAGACAGGGTCCTACTAAGTTATTGAGGCTAGCCTTAAACTTGTGATGCTCCTGCCTCAGCCTCCTGATTTGCTGGGATTACATGCATGCATCATCAAGCCCAACCTATTCACTTGAGTTGGTTCCATAACTTGGCTCTTTTATATACACTGAATATAGCAATTCTATTTTTACTTATTGAAGAAACTTCACATTATTTCCCATGATTGTACTAATTTGAATTTCTATAAATAGTGTGCAGAGGTTCTCTGTTGTTCACATTCTCATTAACACTTGTAATCCTTTGTAGTTTTTTTTTAAATTATAGCCTTTCCAAGTGGGAAGAAGTAAATATATCATTGTAATATTTTTTCTTTTGCTAGGGATTGATCCCAGGATTGCTCCATCACTGAGCTACATCCCCAGTATCTCCTCCATTTTCTTATTTGGGGAGAGGGGAATCACTCAATTGCCCAAGCTGGGCTCAAATTTATAATCTCCTACCTCAGTCTCCCAAGTAGCTGGGCTTACAAACACATGCCACCATGTTCTGCTTCATTGTAGAACTGATGTGCATTTACTGTGTGCTTAGTGATATTGAGCATTTATTTTTTTTACCTATTGCCCATTCACAGGTCTTCCTTTGAGAGGCGTCTGTTCAGATCTTTTGCCCATTTTTTTTAAAATCAATGGTTCCCACTACTGCTCATAAGGATCCCTGTGTGTGTTAGGGAGGTGGATGCTGCAGCCTAGGAATCTGTATTTTGAAGTGTTCCAGGTGATTCTGAAGATTTTCTTCCTATCTTAATTTCAGATTTTTTGGTAATTTAATTAATTTTTGGTTATTGAGTCATTTGAGTTTCTCATACATCTTGGAGAACAATGACTTATTAGAGAATAGTTGACAAATATCTTCCTCCCTGTGTATTTTGTTTCTTCCATATGTTCCTTGCTTCCTTTTTGTGCAGAATTTTTTTCTAATCCTTCTTGTCAATTTTGACTTGTTTCTTTTTGTGGTCTCATCTAAAAATTCTTTCCCAAACCACGGTCATGTAGTTTTATTACAAGTTTTCTTCTGGTAGTGTAATTGTTTGGGGGACTTCCATTTAAGTCTGCAGTCTATTTTGGATCAATTTCCCTATGTAGTAAAGACATGGGTCTGACTCTTTTTCCAGCATGTCAAATGGGTTTTATTGTGTTGAGATATGATCCTTGAATACCTAATTTGTTGAGAGGTTTTATGATGAAAGGATGCTGGATTTCATCTGATGCTTTTCCTGTACTTCCTTAATACAGATTTTACTGTGTTCTGTAAGTTGTTTTTTGTGTTTCTGTTTCTTTAGTCTTGAAATGTAGACATGTGTGAAGGAAGACACAATGACAAAATGGTATGTAAAAATGCTTAGCATCACTAAGCATCAGGGAAGTAGAAATCAAAACCACATTGAGATATTACCTGTACCTGTTAGGAGAGCTTTTATTAGATTAAGTACAACTAATAATGAGAATGTGGATAAAAAAAGAACCCTTGTACACACTGCTGATAATAATGTAAATTGATGCTACCATTGTGGATAACAATATGGAAATTTCTCAAAAATTTGCATATAATTATTTGATCCAGCAATCCCACATCTTGGTATATATCCAAAGGAATTCAAATTTGGATCTCGAGGAGATCTCTGAATTCCCATATTCATTGTGGAAATACATCAGATAAGTAAGTTCTAGAAATCCACTGTATGGCATTCTGACAATAATAAACAATACTACATTATGTACTTCAAAATGTCCAAGAGGTCAGATCTTGTCCTAACTGTTCTTATCAAAATAAATAACAAAAATGAATACACAGGGGAGGAAGAAATTTTGAAGGGACTCAGTATATTGATAGGTTTTGGTGACAACTTCACAGGTATGCAGTTACTTCCAAAATCATTAAGATGCATTGTTAAATATGGGCAGATTTTTCAATATAGATTATATATTAAAAAGAAATTTGACAAGCAGAAAATAGTTATCATCATCTTCTATCGATGAACAAGTTCACAAACATTGTCCCAAAGCTCAAATGATTTGTTTTATTACTCAACTGGCACTGGAATGTCAGTCAGCTTCCAAATGCATCCTGCCTTGGGTCTCTGTTTTGCCCTCTTTCCCCATAGCATTTTTCCTTTCTTGCATTTCTTTTCTGAGCATGTTCCATAACTCCCTGTGACAAATTCTTTGACAGATATGGGACAGAAGCCTTTCCAGCTCCTGTCTTCAGAAAGATCACCCATTCTCACCAGGTCAGTGGGCTTGATGCAGCCTTTGAGCATTCAAGTAATGCGGCAAAGTGAATCCCAAAGATGGAAACCTAACCTCAATGTAGAGATGGAGGCTTTGAATGCATCTTGAAAATTGTAGTGTCTGAAATGTGTCTTTGAGATTAGGGTAGAACCATCCAGGTTTCAACAGTCATGTTTATTTGCATTTGAGTATAGTCCAAATGACTTCAGAAGGGCAAAGTGACTGGTGTCCTGGTAAATGTTTAACTCCAACATTCAAATATTTGAAAAAATCCTAGAGTCCAGAATTGTAGCAATTATTAATTTCTGTGGATTGCTAAATTCCACCAGAGTCAAATTCAAGCTAACCTTATGATGTCAACAGGCTCTTAATCATTAAAAATTTAACAAAGAGCTTTTATAAATCAGTATGAACTGACTTCAAGCCACCTATGTTGGCACACATGGAAAATTGAGACAATTTCAGGATTTTCCCCAAATCATGGTGTGATGATTGGCATAGAAAGGAAGTTACAAAGAAAGATACATTCATAAAATGTGAAGAACCAGCATATCCCCATTTGAATAGGTGCTGCTTCTTCCCCAAGTAAGGGTTACCAGGAAGGACACACTTGTAAAGGCCCCAATGTCAGCTAGCATTGCCCACCTAAATATCTCTGGAAGCTCCACTCATTTCTGTAAGCTCATCAAAAATTTGTAACTGGTACCAAATTAAGCCAGCATACCCTGATGTTTGACTTTGAAATTGAAAGAGTTTGAAGGCCACTCTCAGGCATTGTAGCTCTCATGTGAGACAGATTTAAGGTCTTCTTGAAGTCAATTCTTATTAATATCACGAGAACAATGGCCAGTGGTCATGAGTTTATGTGTTTGCTGCAGAGGGTATCACAACAGATGCCTCTTTAACACAAGCATAAATCCTGTTTCCACTACTGAAGCTAGGGCTGAAAGCTGTCGGGCCATTCCCAGTGGTGTAGAACTCCCCAGTCATGGGAGTAGGTCCAATTCTCTGAATTCCCTTCTTCAAGAAAGTTTTCTGATGACGTTTATAGTATTATCACATTTGTAGAGGAGACATGGCAATGGAATTAATATCTCCAAATAACTAGTAAATTAATAAGTACAAGAGTTCTGGTAGAAGTAGTTTGTTATGTATATTTATAAATTAGTACTAAATAGCCTAGAAAATGATTTTGAGAAGGGCTTGTTTTCCTACTTCTCCTGATCCTGATTCTTTTATTTCTTCTTCTTTTCAATGACAAAGAAATTGAGGTAAAGTGATAGCAGTCACCTTGCCCAGGGTACACAACAAGCAATTGGCAAGTCCAGTGTAGCACTTCAGTATAAAACTGAGTCTGACTTTAAATCAATTTAAACCAATATCATCCCTGATTCTGACTCAAGTTTAATTCTAGGTTTCTCTTTCATGGGGACACACCATGCAAGTTATTTTATAAAAAAGGGTGACTCAAAAACTAAAAAATAAAAATAAAAAATATGTTTCCAGGAAAAAATTCATCTTCCTGAGACAGAAGAATTGTTTTCTCATCATTAGTAACTAATGGAGAAAAAACTCTACTACCTACACTTCTATAGCCATCTAGTATGATTGGGGCTTTGGATTGTAGGATTGTAGCCTAACCCATCATTTGGTTTCCTTCCTCATATAAATCTCTAACATACAATCTCTTTTTCAATGCTGTATAATCCTCTCCAGTTTCCTGCTAATGTGTCTTCATTGCACAAGTTCCCTGAGGTTCTGTGAACTACTGAGTTCGCCTAGCACACTGCTTTTATACCTTCTATTATTTCAATTTCTATATTTTCCACTAGATAATGAAATTATTGAACTTGCTCTCTTTGTTTGCTTGGTGCTTCCTCAATACCCATCATTTTCTGACAATGGAACAATTTGTTGTCTCTGTTATTAACTGAAGGCTGTGAAATCCGCCATGAAGGAGGAGCTGAAGGCAACACAGACAAAACCTACTCTGTGCGACTTGTTCCACACACCCAACCTGTGTAAACGGATCTGTCTCCTGTCCTTGTTGAGGTAGGCTTCACATCATGCTTACAGAAATACTGGAGAAAGAATTTATTCCTTCCTTCAAAGTGTACAATATGTGGTGAGCACAGCTTTGGAGATAAAAGATGAGGAAGACATAAAGAGCACCACGATGGCTGTGGACAGTCAGAGGGTCATGTAAAGACTGACACAGAACCATTGCACAGTGAGGAGTCCTGTTTATCATATCACACAGTGAGGCTCACACCAGAGACTGATGCTGCAAACTCCAACTATGAACAGACGTTGTCTCTGATTTTCTTCATTGCTTGCTTTCATTGTTTGCTTTAATGGAGGTAAAATTTCAAAGAGTGAATTGCATAAATATATGTAACTCACTGCATATTTACATATGTAAAGATATTTCCAACACTCAGATCAAGAGCTGAAAAAAACTCTAAAATCCTAAAGACCCTTTAAGGATTGTGTTGTATTTCCACAATATTCCTCACATGCTCCCAAACTAAACATCCCTGATGGCCTCCAGCATCATACATTTGCTTTAGTGCAGTTAATAATTAAAAAAATAATCACCCATAGGCACATATTCCAAAAAAGAGATATGCCTGTATGTTTTTAACACCAACAAATGACTGATCCAGTATTACCATTATCTAAAGGATATAAGTGCTAACCCTTGTGGCATGTGTCTTTCCTGTGTGTTTGCTACAGATTTGCAATAATGCTGCCTACTTTTGGCTTGAATCTCCACCTCCAGCACCTGGGGATCAATGTTTTCCTGGTCCATGTTCTCCTTGGTGTAGTCAAACTCCCAGCCAATTGTGTTTCAGTTTGGGCACTGAAACATAGGGGCCGTCGTATAAGCATATTTTTTTTCATGTCCATGATGGGAATCACTTTGCTGGCCATCGTATTTGTGCCTTCAGGTGAGAAAAGAGCACAGGGTGAAAAAGGAAATATATTCCCCACTTCCCTCAGGATTTTTTCAGTTTGCACCTCTAGGAATCAGAAAAATTGGGTTCTAAGTTCTTCGTGACACAAGTTGGGCTTTTAGGACAGATTTTGCCATTAGATTGCTATGAAAACAGCCAAAGGTCAGTAAAGTTTGTTCAGATGCCTGCTTCTCTTCATTATGATCAATAAGTACCTGGAACATGGTGCCACTGAGTTCAGAGTTTCTCTAGGTCAGCAATACAACATTTACCCATTGCAAACATAAAAAGTCTGGACTTACCATCATGAGCTATTATAACCACACTGCACTATCACTTCCTCTGCCTGGCTCTGTCTTATTACTTCACCTTCAGTGACAATTTATTCCTGAACTCTGTGTGTCTATACATTAGTCTCATGGTAGGTAAACAAAAATACAACCCTGGAGTGGAGAGTTGTTTTGACTTAAGGAAATAAAACCCCTTGTGTTCAAGTGAAAAGAGGTGTATAGCAGCAACAACATATCCATCACCATGCTTTGCTGAACTCCTTTGTTGTAATGTGTTTTACAAAATCCCACATTGGTGGGTTCCACTCCTCAGTCTCTCTCACTATCTTTTTTTAGTACCAGGAATGTACCACAGTGGCAGTTAACAACTGAGCCACATCCCCCGCCTGTACTATTTTTAGACAGGGTCTTGCTAAATTGCTTAGGGTCTTGCTAAGTTGCTAAAGCTGGCTTTGAATTCTCAATCCTCCTGTCTTAGCCTCCAGAAAAGATGAGATCATAGTTGTGTGTCATCACGCCCAACTATAGGCTCCATTTCTCTTGAATGTGGACAATAATATCAGTTTGCTGCTCTGCAAGAAAACCTTCTCCAAGATTTCAAGCTCTCATGAGATTTTCTTCTTAGAGTAGGTAACTGACTGTATGAAAGTTTCCTTCAGTGGTTTCCAAAGTGTGACATGTTTCCATAAGAGAAGTCCTTATTCTTGAGTCTTGATGCATTTTACTAGATCTGGCTACTCTCCAGGTTGTCCATTAATATAGTATTCTTGTTCTTTTATAACAGTCTTTTATAATATTCACTCCATGTCACTACTGGGTATGGATCATGGTTTTAAACGCCTTGGGTGCCTGGGTCTGACACTCCTCAGTAATTCCCACATCACAGTCCTATCTTCCACAGAAATGATACAAGAGACACTGGAAAGAAAAAGAACGAGTTCCTCCTGCATCCAGCATTCTCTCTCCTTCTTTGACAAATCTTGGAGAGGCAAGGAGAATTAATAAAATTATTGAAAACATTTTTATTCACCATAATTTAAAATATTCAGATAATAACTTATTTTGGTCACAAATTTCACTCCTGTGCAGTTTTTCCACAGTATATTTTACACTATGAATATCTCCAATAAGGGTGTTTTCCACTTGGATTTGGGGGATACCAATACCTTCATCTAAGATCCTGACTCTCCTAGATCATCTTCTTTCCAGAAATGCAGACTGTGCGTATGATTCTGACAACTTTGGGAGGAGGAATTTGTTTTGCCTCTGTTACCTGTTCTTTGACCCAGGCAAATGAACTGCTCCCCACGGTCATCAGGTACAAAATCTCACAGGTTCTCTATCAGGGTAAAAAGGGCTTGTTTCCAAATCATTGACTTTTCAAGCAAAGAAAACACAAATAATCAATGGTGATGATAACAATTACAGCCACAGTTTACTCAAAGTTAGCTTTTTGCTAGGTACTTTTATGCGTGATAATATACCACCAACGTACATCTCATGTATTCTTTGGAGTCACCTAAATTTGAGATGCTATTATGCAACTGACAATATCCAAGTTATGGATCCAGCCCAGGTGTCCATGAACAGATGAGTGCATAAGGAGAATGTGGTAAATATACACAATGGAGTTTTATGCAGGCATAAAGAGAAGAAAATTATGTAATTTGCAGGTAAATGGTTGGAATTTGAGAAGACCATGCAGAGTAAAATAAGCCAGACTCAGGAACTCAAGGGTTGAATGTTTTCTCATATATGAAAGCTAGAAAGAAAAAAGTGGGGAACCATGAATTTTCAATATAATTGAAGGAAACTTCTAGAATAGAGGATGGGAAAGAGGCAGGATAGAGGAGGAACTATAAAATGAACTTGACAAAATTATGTTCATATACAAATGTATGCAATAATTTGTATAATTGAAAAGTAGCAATAAAATAAAGTAAATGAATAAGAAAATAAAATAAATGAGCAATAAAGCAAAATATTAAATAAATGAATAATAGATTTCTAAATGATAAAACGTGTCTTAATAGACTGTGAACTTGAGAAAATTTGCTAGCAAACCAACAAAAATTTCAAAAGCAAGAGCACATCATCAAACTTCTCATGACAAAACATACCCCTTTAGGTCTCCCATAATTAATGCATGAAGGTGACACAAACCCATGTGCATTCTCAACAGATTTATTATGCCTTGTTTTTTATGCTCCAAGGGCAACAGCTTTTGGAATCACTGGAGTTTGCGGTAGTTTGGGGGCAGCTGTGGCTCCCCTGTTGATGACCCTGGAGACATATGCTGAACCCTTGCCCTGGATCATCTATGGAGCCTCCTGCATCTTTATTAGCCTTGTTGTCTTCCTCCTTCCAGAAACCAGGAATCATCAACTGCCTGACTCCCTCCAAGATATAGAAAATGGGTGAGTGAACCCTTTCATGGTTCCTTAGAGGAGTTATGTACCATAAATCTGAGATGAGAAGACAGATTCCACTGGAGCCATATATCTCTGGAAATTATAGACTTACTCTCTTTCCATGTGGTCAGTACCATTGGTTTAGTAAAAGGAATATCCTTTAACCAGTGATCTCAGATGTTCCCCTGAAGATTTCTAGATCATGCCATCGATTTTTCCTCAAACTTCCCCAGTAGGTTTAGTAGTAAATGCAACACAATTAGATCTACTCAGTCCTTGCTGCTACAGTGTAACTGAAGGTATTTCACAAAAATGCACATATACAAATGACAAATCTCACTCTCTATGTCCTACTATCCGGTAGCCCAATGACTGCTGGTAGCTGTCTGGCACTGTCATTTCTTATAGGCTTGAGCTCTTCCCTGGTCACTGAAGAACCCAGGGGTGATCATTATAAGATTAGGGCCCTTCCATAGCTGACAGTACATTTTAGGGCAGGAGTCTTGTTGTGTTGCCTGTGAGATTCAGACCATCTTGTTTTCACTAGGAATGAAAGTATTCACAAAATAAAAGAATGCAATGGTCAATAAAGGAATTTTAAAATGATAAATGATTGGGAAAGATTTTTTAAAATTTTGTGTGCTTCCCTGATTTTCCCAAAGACTCTTTTGGAGAATTACATGGTACCCAAGGATGACAGTAGAAACCATCAAGCTGCCTTCCAAATACTAAAGGAATATTTGACTTTTAGTTCACAAGTTTTACTGAAATACATGGGCAGGTGTCTTTTTTTTTAACCAAGGTTGATGGGGAAAAGATCAGCTTGCTGTAAAGAATGCAGGAGATACCTGCTTTTTCCATGCCCTTTCTTGTTTGTATTTCTTTCATCATGTATTTTTTTCATATCTGTTCTAGTGGGAAAGGCTCAAGAAAAACAGAGCAGGAAGATACCTCCATCAAAGTGACACACTTCTAAGGAATTTCACAAATTGGATACTAATCAAAAAGCAAGAAAAAGGAAGAAATATAAAGGTTACTCCAAGATACCAGCAAAAATTAAAATAAATAGAAGCAAAAGAAATAACAATTCCCATTTATAATGGTGAAGCTAAATTATTGTATACAAGATACTTTATGAACCATAAGAAGTTGAAAGAAACTGTAATTCTTTGAAATATATGAGAGAATATTTGTATAGTGTAGACACCTAAAATGTTTCTGAATAGGGAGATGGAATTAGCTTTAAAAAATTTTTCTTTCTGAATTTATAGAAAGAGTATTCTATGGAATAATTACAATGAAGAACCTGACACCCTTGAAAAAACTTGAAACTTAGTAGTTCCAAATACATATAAAAATTAATACCGGTATGTGAGTCAGCTTTCTGTCTCAATAACAAAATACTTGAGTTAAATCAAGGGAATAACTAAAATCAAGGAAGATTTTTACTGGCAAATGGTTTCAGAATTTTATTTCCATGTTTGCTTTGCTCTGTTGCCTTGGGTCTATGGAAATGGAAAGTATTATATTGGGGAGTCCATGGTGGAACAACCTGCTTACCTCATTGAAGACAAGAAGAAGAGAGGAAGTTATGAGGATCCCAATACTTCCTTCAAGGTCATGCTCCCACTGATTTAAATCACTTCAACCAGGTACAAATTTCTGAACTATTTATCACCTTCCAATCATATACTACCAGCTGGTAATAAAGCATTTAACAGATAACTTATTGGAGCACACTTCAGATCTAAGCTTTAACATTCTGCCCCCATGCCCAAAATTCCATGTGTATCCCATATTGCAAAATGCACTGAGTTAATTTCCAAAGACTCCCTTCGTCTTAACCATTCTAGCATCTCCAAGACCAAAGTCTCCCCTAAAAATCAGGGCACACTCTTAGCTGTGACTCCCTGTTTAAAAAGCTATATTCTTCCAACAGATAATGTGGGACAGAGGCAGGAGACATATTCCCATTCCAAAGGGGGTAAATAGGTACATAGAAGGGACCAAAATTCATCAGAGTATAGATTAAATCCTGTAATTCCATGTATAGTATTTCAGACACAGGGTGTGATGTGAGATCAAAAGGACTGGAGCAGACCCACCCTTGTGGACTAGTTGGCTGTAGCTCATAAGGCCACGCTCTTGGGCTGGATCAGGTCACTGATGGCACCTCCCATGGCAAGTGTTCTGTACTTCTGGACCCTCTAACTTCTCCACAGCAGCTTCACCTTCACTCTCAACAGTTTCACACATTATTATATCAAGGGATTTTTGCAGGGCTTCCAACCCCACCACACATCACCTGGCCTCCCAGACCTTCCTTTGAAATCTCAGTGGAAGCCTCTGTGACCCACAACTCTTCCCTTCTGCAAGCCTGTGAAACCAGCATCACCTGGTTGATGCCAAGTTTTGCTGCTAATAGGAGTTACACCTGAATGGACTTCAGCCAAGACTGCATATGCTTCTGAGTGCCTTCCCAGCTGATACCAGGAAACAAATCTCAGGACAGCAATTGTCTTGGTGGTCTTGCTGATGAGGGCACTTTGGGGCTTCCTTCTCAAAGCAGACTTTGAAACGAGTTTATATTTTTTATATCCTTGAGCCTGGAATTGATCGGGCCTTGTCAATTCCTGAGAAGTCCAAAGGCACCTTTCCTACTATACTTGGTTTCTTTGGAATGTCTCTAATCTCTTGATCAACTGCTGTCTCCTTGGCCACTATTAATATGCTCCTTTGCTTGCCAAACTGCATGTTTTCATTTCTATGCTGATTTAAACTTACTTCTTCTCATTGTAAACATGACTGAAGCAGCCAGCAATACCCATGAAAATGTTTGAAATTTGTGCTGCCTTGAAGTTTCCTCCATCATAGCAATTAGTCCATGATCTTTATTGAGCCTCTCAAATTTTCAGGGCATGGACAAAATGTAAATAATTTATCTTTTTTTAGAACATAAGACGTATACCCCTTGACCAATTTCAAAGACAGTTCTCATTTCTATCCAAAAAACTCATCAGCATAGCCATTGCTGTCCACAGTTCTATCTGTATTCTGATCTTCTAAGCCCCATTGGAGTCACCTGTTAAGATTGTTTTTGAAAGTCTAGGGATTCTGAAACCCATTTCCCCAAAGTTTTTCAAACTCTTTCCACAAACTTATTATAAAAGTTTCTGAACCATGTCACCTGGTATAGATACAACAACATGTACTCTTATTAGTACCAAATTCCTGTGATTGTCATCTTCAATAATGAGATCAGTAGTTCCTAACACAAATTCCTCTTGAAAATTTTCCCTGAAGGAGCTTTTCCTACTGAATAGAAACCAGATGGAGAGCAATTGAGCACCACCTTCCTGCTCCCAATTGCTAGGGAAGGATCTGTCCCTCCCTGCTTTCTGCCTTCTTGTTCTGCCATATGAACTCTTCTTCTGGCATGTGGTTTCACTCTGAAGCCATATGCACGAAGGGACACAAACTGAGGGACACTCACCAGAGTTGAAATCATTCAGTTGGAGTTCTCATTCTCCAAATCCATGAGATAAATAAAACTCTTTTCCTTTTTTTTAGAGAGAGAGAGAGAGAGAGAGAGAGAGAGAGAGAGAGAGAGAGAGAGAGAATTTTTTAATATTTATTTTCCAGTTCTCGGCGGACATAACATCTTTAGTTTTTGTATGTGGTGCTGAGGATCGAACCTGGGCCACACGCATGCCAGACGAGTGTCCTACCGCTTGAGCCACATCCCCAGCCTCAAACTCTTTTCCTTATAAGTCATGCAGCCTCAGGCATTTGTGACATCAATGGGAAAGAACCAATACATTTTCATGTCCCAAGGCCCAAATTATATACCATCACCCTTAACAGGTAATACATTCCAAAGGGTTTCATCTTCCACAAAGCAGTAACAAGGCTTTCTTTTACTTGGACTGGGAAGTGTTTGAAAATCCCAAACCACTGAGTTAACACTTTACTACACAAAACTAGATCCTGAATATTGTTTTTCTATTTTGGGCTGAAACTACATAAGGTTAGAAAATGCTATAAGTTTCACTCTGATTTTATCATGGTGATGAAGATACATTTGGAAGACAGAATTAACTGATTTTGTCTGACTAGGGATTGTTTAATTTTTCAATGAATAAAAGAAAGAATTAAGGGCTCAACTCAAAGTATTTTATGAGGGTGACTACAAAGATTGGAGTTTAATTAACAAAGATATCAAGAAAATCCCCAAGTAAGGGAAGGTATATCAAATTCCTCAAGTAAGGGAAAGTGTATCAAAAGAAGATGAAATTATTGATTCCCTAAAAGTGTTCTAGATACTATTAACATCTATTTTTGTGCTCCCTTTCCTCCATACTTTTTGGTAAAGTCACAATTTCAAGAGGCCAATCGTAGTCTCTTTACTAAGCTTATAACAGAAGATCCCAGTATGACAGGTATAGACAGTATAGATAATGAGCTAGGTTACCTTATTTATGTGGTGAAATGAATAGTATCCAGTTGCCAGTTTTTTGTTGTCCTCCAACAAACCACAAAGAATACTATCAAAGGGACAAAGTAAATATAAAATGAGATACCCCAAAGGTGAGCATAAAATTTTAGTCTGTAACTAAATGATTTTATATCATGAAGTTCTATTCTGAGGAAATCAGGGCAGGAAGATTCATATTTCAGTAGAACTCTAGAAGCAAAGATAAAAGGTCTCTGGACAGGCTTTAACAGTGTGACACTGCTTAACATGTGCATTCACTATGCACAATGGTCTCTATAATTTTATGATATTCATAACTGTGGTTGTTAGTGAGATAATGTTTAACTGTATTTCAATATTTCAGAGTGGAGTGGCAGGCATCATTAGATTATTTCATCAGCCACAGAGATTTGCCTTATACCCAGAGGCTTAAATAATTCTGTGAACAGCAGGTAAACACTTTTAAGTTTTTAGTTAACACCTTCTTCAAAGATACTACCTGTTTACAAAGCCCTCTCACATTGGGTTTTTTATATGGCAACACCCAACTCTATTCTTAGAAGCCCCCAGTTTTCTAGTGAACAAAGGATGCCATTGGTGCCCCTTATCATTAGGCTCCTCTGCTGCCATTACTTTCATGACCACTATAGTGCCGCATTCCCCCATTGTGGCATTCTCAACCATTTTATAAAAACTACATGGCAATGTTGGGTAACACGTGGTATTTGGTTGTGCATTCATCTCACTAACACTCTTTTATTTATGATATTTTCACATCGGGAACATCCCTCACAATCACTAGAAGTAAATCCACATGCAGAGACAATTATTTTTATAATTCATTCAGCTGTATCAATCACCACCATTTTTATGTTTATTATTCCAAAAGGACCCATCCACAAAGTTGTATCATCCCATTGTCCAATCTGAAAATTATTTCCAAATCCACTTAAAGTGAATTTCACCATCATGTATATCCACAAGACACTAATCTTACAAAAAACAAACAAACAAACAAAAACTATAAGTAAATAGCAGAAAGATGAGTAGAATAGAGGGAAGGGAACAGGCAGAGGGAGGAGGGGAGGGAAAAGGGAAGTAGTGGGGACTGAATTAGAACAAATTATATTGCATACTGTTAAAATTATGTCAAAATGAATCCTAATTTTATATTTAATTTAAAAGAACCAATAAAAGGTGGGGTGTGTTGGTGCATGCCTGTAATCCCAGCATCTTGGGAGGCTGAAGCAGGAGGCTCTCAAGTTCAAAGCCAGCCTCAGCAAAAGTGAGGCACTAAGCAACTCAGTAAGACTCTGTCTCTAGATAAAATACGAATAATGGCTGGGGATGTTGCTCAGTGGTTAGTGCCCCTGAATTCAATTCCTAGTACCAAAATGGAGAAAAATAAATAAATTAAAAAAAATTTTTCGGGTTGGGTATGTGGCTCAAGTGGTAGCGCGCTCGCCTGGCATGCGTGTGGCTAGGGTTCGATCCTCAGCACCACATACAAAGATGTTGTGTCCGCCAAAAAACTAAAAAAAAAATTATTGAAAAAAATTTTCTATTACAACATTGATATCTTCTAAAACTACAGTGAAATTGTTCCACAATATTCAAAATACCAAAAGATTACTTTGGTTGTTTTTTTAAAAGCTAAATTTGTTATATATGACTGTCAGGAGCTGGCAGACCTTCAATTCCTGATGCCCTTGGGTACTGATCAATTATAGCCTTCTGTCTGGCACTATAGTGCCAGGTCTCCCAGTAACTTGGGCTTTACCCCAGCTCAGATAGCAAGGCATGGCTCCAGGTGTAGGGATCACTTGCGGGCGTTGAGCTATACTCACCTATTCCTTTGTAATCCTACTCCCTTTGCCCTGTTTGGAAGAGAATGTTCCATGGAAACTCCCTTTGTGTGTTTCCCCTTCTCTTGCTCTGCCTTTGGGCATGGCCTTCCTAGATGTCAGTCAACCTCCTGACAGCAGACATCATGAAGCTAGACTCAACCCCCTGAAACCTGACCCCTTGCCTCATTTGAGTGGCTTCTCCCCAGTAAAATGGTTCAGCACATGCTCCTCTTTCTCTCTCTTTTCAGAAACCCATAAAGTCAGAGGAGCCATCATAGGACCCAAATAAAAAGATATTTCTCTGTCTATGAGTGATTATTTTGTGCCAGCCCAGTTCATCTGCAGTGACCTTGAGTGTTTAGTTATGAGATGCAACATATAACAGCAGAATGCATTTAAATTCCTATTACAGATATACAGCAGAATTTTTCATATTTTTGATGGTATACAATGTAGATTCACATGATCCATGTCTTCATACATGTACTTAGAGTAATGATTTCCATCTTATTCCACCATCTTTCTACTCCTATGACTCCTCACTTTCTTCCCTCCTCTTTTCCCTATCTGGAATTCATCTAATTCTCCCATGATCCACCCAACCCCGTTATAAATAAGCATTCTTAAATTTGAGAAAGCACTCTGCATTTGTTTTTTTGGGGATTGGCTAACTTCA